GCAATTTGTACGGACTTTATGACGCAACTGACGAAGGCAGAACTACACGAGCTACACCAGGGACAGAGGGGCAATACTTCCTAGTATACGATGGCCTTGTTGGCAAGTCGAGATGTACTCTTTTGGCAAAGGCAATGCAAAGCGTACCACGCCTCAGCCCTCAGTGCACCAACATCCTGCTCAGCTTTGCGCAGCTTAGCAATCGGGAGAGGCTGTCGCAGTCATCACTGGAGTCAAGCTCAAGTGACTAAGTCAAGAACGGTACTCACCACTGCTCACCACAGTCAGGACTCACTTCCTTTGATGAGGACGGTACCGCGGCTGGCAAAGGACTGGATGGGCTGCCCAAGGTGAAGGCATCCTGCCCCATCGTATCAGAAAGACAACAACTTCGAAGTGTACAATGATCGGTCATGAGTCGGAGGGTGGGCATTTCTCTCACGCTTCATAATAAGGTTTCGCTTTGCCAGACTACCGCTTCGGAGTCGGCCTAATGAGCGTAATGTGCTGGACAAGGCGTCGCTGCGCGGCTTCATTGTTTGCAAGCTTTGAAACAAAGACGGATAAAGACGGTCTCCTCCAAATCCAGACCTTGGGTGAGCTCATGCCAAGTTCGCATGAGTGCCAACAATATTGTCCTGCACATGATGCCCCAGGGCAGGTCAAAAGTGAAATGTGCTAGGTTTGTACTCAAGCACCTCGTGGGATACCTAGAATGCCGCCTGGAATCTAGGAATTATTTCTAGGGACACTCTGGGGTTGGGCACTCCAGAAACACTGTGGGGTTGGGCACTCCAGGGACACTCTGGGGCTGGCACTCTGGGGTTGGGCACTCTGGGGTTGGGCTGGCATGGTCGGGCGAGGAGAAGAGTTGCGTCTAAAATCTAACAACCCACACCGAGGGTGGGGAACAAATTCAAATGCATCCCAATGTACAAGTGACATGCAAAGCTATGTCAGACGTGGCCCTCTGAGTGTAGGCTAGGTTTCTCAGGAGCATTCAAGTTGAAGTCTGCAATTTGCCGAAATTGAGCCCTGCTGCGTCTCCCTAAAGTAGTCAAAACATGCTCAGCTGAATCTGAGTGACGATTTGGTGATGCGCCGCCATCCCGTGGTGGACTGACGATCCGACGCAGGTCCTGGCAGCTGGCTGTCTCGCAAAACCAACATACGTTTCATGGCGCGGTGCCCATACTGATCAGCATGATGCTCGTGCAGAGGAATCTGGCAACTGTTGCATTTTGTGAAAAAAGCTTGTTTATGCTTTGTGCGTCACATGTGCAAAGACTATTAAAAGGGGGGCCTCTTGTGACATTCCTTGACATTCCTTGGCGGCTGGTGCCTTACAAACCCCCCCCATCCCCAGGCTGGGTTTACGCCTGGTGCGGCTGTCACGGAGGCCCGGAGGCCCGGCTTCAGGTCAATTGGGATTGTAACTGTTCACCCCTCAGAGCAGTGGATCTTGGCGATGCTCGTGCAACCAGGTTTGTGACTTCTCTTGTTGCAACTTGTTTTGCCCATCGCCCTGGTATCCCGCCGCCAATATGTCGCATTGAATACGGGGATGTTCGGAATGGCGGGTGGTACTAGTACTGCTTTAGGGTTTTGTGGGCTTTGGGGGCTTGTTTAATGCTTTTCTATTTTCAGAGCTCAGGGTTCGGACAATTGGGGCAGTTTAGGATTCCACCCAGGAAATATCTCTGCATCTAACGGTTCCATTCCAGCGGACATCAATGAAGTGGCAGCACCAAGTCTACATGCGCACGCACGCACGCGCACTCACCGTCGCAAGACATGGAAAACATGGACAAGTCCCTATAAGTCGTCAGAGGTGAAGCGACACTGAGAAACCCAGAATGGTCTGCATGGCTGCACACACCAAGTCGGCCTCTGGGCCGCTATCATCCGAGAAATAAGATGGCATGGCTTCATCGATGCCAATTACATGCCGGAACTGGCCAGCTAACACCTCCTGACGAAGGCAAGATGCCTGTAAATCACATGACTCTGTGAGGTGCGTTCTTGCCTTTGTTTGTCTTTACTACCATGAACCCAGCTCTCAACAACTGTTTGCATGCACACCCGCCATTACATGCCGAGCTTTGCAGCAGGAGGGTTGCCCTTTGTTGAGCCAGGTTCATGCAGTCGGCGATGACGAGGTCACCCCGCCCGTTCTTCTTGAGATTCGACTGGAAAGATCTTGCATTGCAGGGAGTGCTACATACTGCCGCAACAGCGCAAGCCGCTCGCGCACGGCATGCCGCAAATATGCCCAAGTACTGCTGCACTTGCTTTCGCGGGCGGCCCCCCGCAGACAGAAATGCCCCCAGAGTTAGGGGACGAAGGGGAAGGGGGGGGGGGACCATCCTCAAGCCTCAGACCCCACCCAATCAAGCCTTTTGGGACCTTAACGCTGGAAGCTTTCCTGGGCCAAGCCTGGCCCGTTTATTTGGGAGGGTGACCCACACAAACCTACTAAAGCGAGTCGGGCTGCTCGTCTGGACTACCTACCTATCACGGGCCTCGTTTCGTTATGTAATATTCAGTACGGCTTTAGATGGAACTGGGCGGGCTGAGCTTCCTGGATTCTCCGGGCTCTAACCCAAAGTTTCGTTAAAATTGAACCTCAGACTGCTTCAGCCCTTAACACTACACACAAACCCTTAACTGAAGATTTCCGTAAGGCCACCATTGCCCGCTGCACCAAAATACATCGGCCTGTATGCCAAGGTGATGGTACATCGACGAGCCACGACGGTCAACACTCCCCCCCGCCCCCCATGCCTCAATACCGAAATGCCAGATGGTACAGGCGCATCATGATACGGGTACGCGGATGTGCCGAACTCCCGACCAACTCCGACAATCCGTACTCGCCTAGTAGGTATCTTCAACAGCCTCAAAGTGTTTGTTGTCTGCCTCAGGCCCATCATGACCTCAGTCGACTCGCCGACAAAGACATAAGAACGGCGCAGAAGGCCTCTGCTAGCAAATGGGTGATCCTGTAAACTTCGTGCTGCTGGATCCTCCTGACACTACATGGCATTACTGAGAAGGATGGCTTTCACATTCGCGACGAACCTTTTTCGACATGTTGGGCATTAAGACGTCATTCCTGCGCCGAAATCGTGTGCGGCGCTGACCCATCATAGGTCAAGAGCAGATGAGCCACCCCGAAATCCACAGGCTTTGCACCAACCTGATATTGCAAGAACGGCTTGCCAAACTCTGCTGTAGTGCTGTTTAGAATTGTATGCTTTACCGGCTGTCATATGACTTCAAGTATGGCAAAGACATCATTTGTACAGGTGAGGCCTGTCCGATGTCATGCTCATGCTGCTTCGTCGTCTGATTTGCTTGGACGAGTGGATTGAATCCGTCCTGAAACGAAACATCGTGGGATTCCCGAAGTGTCGAGCAGCATGAACACCCCATCTGTGGCCACAAGAAGCGTGGGATGTGCAGGCAGCGGGTATGGAAGTACTTGACTGGTCAAAGCAACTTGCTGGTCGTCCAAGTTTTTGAACGGCAAATTGGCTAAGTAACACGTCGGCAGGCAAGAGTAGAAATTTGTTCGTTTATTCCAATGGCACTGCTGCCATCTGTGTATGCCTCCATGAAAAATGGATGAATACCATGGATGAAGCCAACATGTCAAAAGCTGCCATCTTTCAACCGCCACTGGGGCCGCCATTACTTTTCCCTGGTACATTAAGTCACGAAACTGGTTGACGGAGACCGCAGAATCATTGATGTCATGCATGAAAACATGCATGCGCAATTCGACTTACCAGTGCCTTGATTCGAAGTTAACATACACTGTGCACAACGGAACCCATGATTTAGTCGCTGCACTCTCCTGATGGGGCACTCCGACTGCGGTCATCTGCGGTCTCCGAATGTGGGCGTGGACGTGAGACCACAAGCGATTGCACGATTGAATGAGCACTAGAGGCGGGAACCGAGACCCACCTTCATCGTGTCAGCGCCTGTTGTTTTACAACTGTACGTGCTTAGACGGCTTGTGTTCCTTTGCCCGTGCAGTTCTGCCGAGAAGCATTGAATTCACTCGACCTGCGCAAGGTGCTTGAACGGCCACGACACGCAGCAATCTACCGACAAAGAAGACTGACAACAGCCAAAGCAACAGCAAAAGCATGAAAATCCGAGAAGCAGATGACAATAGGTGGCCAGCACTTCACTGAGTGCTAGGCCGCTAGGCAGAGATTGGGGAATGCAGGGAGCAGAGTGTACTGCTGCAATCGGCGAAAGAAGACAAAAGCTACTGTGGGTGGAACGGAAATTACGGTGCAGCAGAAGGCATACAAGCATTCAGAATCCTGCAACATCCATTGCTCTCAGTCCCGCAAGACAGACTTCGTGAAAAATGATGATGCCCGCACATGTGCTCTCCACAATGCACTTGTCCATTGTCCGCAGCCTCAGAAGGGAATGTTTCTCCGCACGAGGTCGAAGTCCTTGTGAGCCGTCACGCATGTCATCGCACATGCTAGCTGAGCAATCACAGACGCGTGATGTACCTTTCTTTCTTGGACAGCTCAGACAAGTCGTTCTATCTTTTGGCGAGCACGTACCTTTTGTTTGCCAGATTCTCGCTGAAAAGCTTCAGGTGCCTTGTGATGTGCCTCTGCACTCTGCTAGCACTATCAGTTTGCCATAGTTTGCCTGGGGCGAGGCGGCTTTGTTGCTCTCGTTTGCTCTCGTTTGCTCTCCTCACACTTAGTCTGCTCAGCATCGCAATTCATCGGAAACAAGCGTCCTCGTCACTCTCGGCGTCCTCGTCATCCTCCTGCGTGTGTCATGGGCCATGAGAACTCAATTCAATTTTAGGACCAGCTTTGGTTCAAAGTCGCTCTCTCCTCCATGGGGCTCGAGTTGCCGGTAACTCGCGTCCGGCTGTCACCAAGGTCGGGCCTGTTTCAAAATCAACGAATTTGGCGCTTACGCTGACTTCAGCACTCATCGAAATCTCTCCAGGTCTACAAGGTCGATTTGTGGGTCCCTGGCAGTGGTACGCATGAAGTTGTCTGAGTGGAGCGCATGAGAGGCCGGGCCAGGCCGACACAGACCGCCACAGCAGTTCGAGGACAGGGCTGGCAGATGTGGGCAGTTCACAGTCTCTTGAAACCACAGAAAAGGCTTGATCTCGAATTTCGAACGCAGGAAGCGCAAACATCCAAGACTGTCTTTGATGAGCAGGCCACACAGAAATGGCCACACAACCACCCTGCCGAAAACTAGACACAGCTGCTCTGACCCAAAAAAACCCTATTTATATGCAAGAACATAAACAGTATTATCAGCAGCGGCTTTTGGGTTCTCGCTTCAGGGTGCAGGTGCTCGCCTACCGCGCTAGGGTCGGGGTGCATTTGGTTTTGGACCGCCATAACCATTGTCAGCTCACCGACCACTTGTGCATACTTGTGCCAAATGCCTGCTTACCAGCCGACTTTCGTTAAGGAGGGGCTTGTCGCGGAGCGCGCTACATACCCTGACAAACTGCATAGTCCGAGATAGACAACCCCTTTTCCCTTATCTCAAGCAAGCCGGGGCTGGCGAGTGGTGGGACGATGTCGTCTTTCCGCCACTGTCCTGCATGCTAGGGCATGCTAGGCTGAGCATTCTGCGCGCAGCGTGATTGAGGTATTGCGGCGCCGGCATCTTCTTGAAGTGTCGAAACTCAGAGCTTGAGCTGTTGAATGCTAAAGCCCAGCCACCTAGCTGAGTGTCGTAGACAGGAACACCCGCCAGCTGCCTGAAAGAATCAAAACTGGCAATTATTGGCACGGTGTTGGCCGGTATAAGGCAATGGGACAAACTGATGCAGCAAACAGCCAAACTGATTGAAGTAGCAAACATGGAATCGCTGATTTGTGTGACTACGACTGAAGCAGTCAAGGGAATCAAATGCTCGGATGAAGACTGTGTTCGTGACATGCATACATGCATGATCATGCATGGTCCCTGATATTTCTGATCTGTTCTGCAACAGCCTGACATTGCAAGCGCAGCTCTTTCTAAAAACTGGATTTTCAACAGAAGCAACGATTTCCTGAACGTCACTGCTCGGCAGCCAGGCCGTCGTTCGGTGAGTGACGTAGATATTCCAGCCCCAGAGTCTGGTACCTATGTGCAGCCTCGTTTCTCCAAAAGTAATCGTGCGCCATGTCATGAGCTACCGAGGGAAGTGTTGTGGCAAATGCATGGAGATGCCCTCGTGTATTGGACCTTGCACCGCCTTTCGCAGCAAATGTTTTATAACCAGGATGTCGCCGAACCTGCCGTGAACATCGAACCATATCGAGCCTGGATGAGCCTAGTCTTAAGGTCCGCACTTGATCCTTTGGTACTCCGGCACATCCTCATCACATCTTTCACCGCCAACGACGACGACACAGCGTCGCTCGACCTTCGCTTCTAAATGCCAAGAATTCCGTCCCGCTTTTGCATCTTTTGCTAAGTCTCTGTTGCAGGCATGAAACTCAAATGTAAAGTACTGCTGTTGTCAACCGAAGTCCGCGAACAGCAACCAAGAGGCTGTGGATCGAAATCGACGCATCACACCCACGAACAGAGAAGCTCATAACGAACGCACAACTGTCAAGAACCGAGACAACAAGGAGCAGGCTCGACCAGCTTTATACAGGGATCGGTTATGGGAACAGCTGCATTGTGCTCATGAATGCTGCATCTGAGCATCCAGCAACAGGATATGTCTTCTCAGGCGAGGGGAGCGCCAAAACGGCAGCCTTCAACATGTCAACTACATTTCCTGCGATTCAGGAACTGCCAAACGTATGTTCATAACAACGGACCGCCTGTCTGCTGGGAAACGGAAAGGGGGAGTGGGGTTGAAGCAGGGGTTTCAAGTTCAGGGGGGAGGCTGTGTCGTCTGGGGAGGGGGAAGGAGTGTTGGGGTGGGAGGGGAGGGGGGGGAGGACGGAGGTGAAGCGGGGCGAGGGAAGCGGGGGGCGCGGTTGTAAACTGATACCAAGAAAACACTGCAAGACAGATAGAAGGGAGAAACAAAAAAATAATGAAAGAAAGAATGAGCACTAAACCCTAAACCCCTAAACGCTCACACCCAATCTAAACCCCAAAACCTAACCCCAGACCCTGAACCCTTACCACGAACCCTAAAACCTACAACCCTAAACCTTAAGCCCGAGAAGCTACACCCAAAGCTTTGCGCAGCTCGTTAAAGCTTGTTTTGTGAGAACTATGTTCATTCATGAAATTCCATGAATAGTTAATAAACATTAATAAACAGTATTTCGTAGCTGATAACGAAAATGTTGGTTCGTGATTGCACATTAATAACAACTCACGCTGAGCAATTGGTACTAAGCAAAAATTAAGTATCGATTCGGAACTAGGAATTTGTAGCTCATAGCCAAGAATTAGCTACTTGCAAATGACAATTAAGTAACTGTTTTGAGTTTTGCCGGAAATCGTCATTAGCAAGCCGTGGTTCAGCACCAGAAAATAATGAACATGTAACCAGGAATGCAAATTTGCAAGTAGCAATGAGCAGTTAATGCTCAACTGGTTCCACATGTTTCCACCATTATCTGCCTCTGGAACATGCCCTGCCTGGCATCCCATGCGGCCATCAGACAAGTCTGCCTTGAGAGCGACGGGACACAAGAAGACAAAATGGACCGACCCAGGAACCAGGAATGGACCTCTACACTGCAGGCCCGTCTGAGTGTTACATGTCACATACCTTGACATGCAATACGGAAGTATTGGAGTGGCTTCACTCTACCCAGGCCCCACCTCCTTACTTCTCGCTGAATCGCGCCAAGGAAGGAGAACTCATTTTTCGTTTTCATTTCGGGCATCTCTGAGGTTGGAGCGACCTTCTCCCCCTCTCTTGCTGCAAAGCCTGGACATTGAAAACCATTCAACACCTGTCGGACTGCCGGCTAGAACAGAGCAGTTTTGCAGAACTTCATGCACAACGCCCGCGAAGCTGCCTGCATCTGCTGCCGTCTGCACCCTGTACACCTTGGACATGAGGCATGTCTGCACATCAACAAGCGTGTCACCAGTCTTTGACTGTAGCAGTTCCTTGTGTGTGTGTGTCACTAGAAGTTGCGCCAATAACTACTAGCAAGATCTCTGCAGTCCTCTGTGCGAATCCTAAGCTACAAGTAACATCGTGAAATAACGCAGATTGCGAGAGAAAGACCAACATCCAATCAATGCTTCAGCCTCCAAGAACCCGTGAGCTTGTGTCAGTGCAGGTGTCAGTGGATGTCAGCGCTATGCCCAGTTGTGCAACGTCCGCTGCCGACCACCCGCAATGACAACCAGGAGCACGCCTCGACCGTGGAATAAGACGGCGCTCCGCCCACAACCAGGAGCGCCTCACGAGGACGACTCTTCACTTTCAGAAGCTTGCGGCGGCTTTGCAGAACCAGGCACGCTAGGCGCAGTTAGAGACAATTCACCCAGCTGGCTGAGCATTCGCACGGGAAATACAGAGCGCTGCCCTAGGATTGAAGATGTTGAAGTCCGCACTGCTAACTGTACTAACTCTCTTGACTCAAACCTCATGGGTTGGATTCACAAGACTTCCAGGATTCCAAAGCAAAGCCTTCCCATCGATTGCGGCCGCACCTGCAGTCGTCCTGGCACTCTTTGCTTCCTAGAGGCAGTCCTCCCTTCACTCCAAACCCCTTCCAAGTTGTCATTAACCCTTCCCCTCACCCTCCTTCCCCTAATTAACACAGAAATCCTGAATTGGGAGAAGGTTCTCCTATGCGGGGGGATCCTAAATCCTGAACCCTAAGCCAAAATTGCCAAGCTAAACTCGATTTACATACGGTCCAGGGATGTTCGTGGGCGTAGGCGTTGCGGCAAGGAATGCGCTCAAATCAACCCCCTACTATGTTGTGGTTTTGAAGGCCCCATGGTGCCCGGGCCAATAACTTCTTCCAATAGGGTGGATTAATCACCCGCACCACTCCCTTGCCATACACTTTCACCTGTCGCAGGCTGCATCCTCACATCTGACAGTGCTGAAATTGGCAATGAGGGGCACAGTTTCGGCAAAACAATTGAACAGGCCGAAGCCATCAGCATCCCGTGGCCTCCTGGCAATGCCATGCACATTTTAGCGTATCTCAAGGTTACGAAATGTTACGAACATACGAACGGCTCACAGCCTAAGCCACCACGGACCAGGCTTTCCACATCTTCTTCAACAACCTTTCGATAATATTTCCTCCAACATGTGATACTCCTTTCTTGAAGGGCATACCAGACAGGTACTGACATCTCTCGGAACCATAAGGCCCATTCCAAAGCCATGTGCTGGCATTGCAGGTAGGCTAAAACTAAGGTCTGCCACGAGCTCGGCAAAACATCAATTGGACAGGCCGAAGCCGTCTTGCAGCATCCCATTGCCGCCCCAATCTCTGGCAAAGGCGTGTCTCTGCCAATAGAGGATTACATTCATTACGACATGCCACGAGGCTTTTCCGGTGCTCTAAAAATGACCGATACGCATCGATACGCCTTTCCTGGGAACATCAGCCAACTGGCTTCCAGGAGTAAATGTAAACTGCCCCCATTTCGAAGCCATGCACGGCGCAGGCTGGGGTTCCATGATACTCATGGTCGACCAGCTCTTGCAATCCCGGCTGTGCCAGCATTGCCAGCATGTGCCAGCTATGGTTGTGCTTCCCGACAATGTCACCCAGCTACACAGCTAAAGTAAAACCAAAGCTAGCCAACAGGACCATGGGGCCCGAACGCTCCTTCAGAAATTTAGCAACGCTATTGAGCTGATTCGGACACAGATACAAGGCTGGAAGCCGAGAATCGCATACTTAATTAAGGCCACAGCTGCTCTGGAGTAAGCGTATGGGCAAGACTGCCGATAAGCCAGCCTTGAAAGATGTCAACGATCAGTTTCAGGCAGTTCGACTCCAATGCTGTCAGCCGAGCACATTGATGTCTATTCAGCCCATGGACGAAAGTCAGAACAATCGGGATCAAGATGCGTACGGCGTAGAAAGGTCAGTGCAGTGACTGATGCGAGTAGTCTTTATGAAGATAGAATGCCAAAACAATTTTCAACCATGGCTGATGTGACTTCAATGGTCCTTCGCTGTTTGGCGAGTGCGTCGCATGCAGCGAGTGAAAATCACAACGTCGATTCATTGCTAGCGTGCTAGAACAAACCAGGCGGCGCATTTGGCTTGCATCATACTATGCATCATACTTTGCTAGTGCTGCACAGTCTGTCACCGACATTCTCAGGCCAAGTATGGCCAAGTGCTACAATGCCACCAACCAAGTCTGTCGCTAGACCATCAGCAGGTTCAGGGGAGCAAGTGGTACCTTAGCGACACAGCTTGAGTGCGACATGCTTCTGATATCTTCTGATTGCACTTGCGTTGTTGGCACTTGATTTATAATGCTTGTGTCACGGCTGTCTGCATTCGGACACCACAGACTTGACGAGGCGGCGGGTTGCAAGCTCGTCTGCCGTCATGTCATGGCTTTTCCGGGGGTGATGGGGGTGTCAGTTCGTTTCAGCTGCTCAAGCCCAGAAAATGTCTCCGTGCACTTCACTATCCTCGCTCTTACATCCTTGTGCCACCGGCGTCCTGTGCGCCACCGCTCCGGCAAACCGTGTCACCATCAGCCAACATGATTTTGTGCATCCGCACTCATCTGCCCACTCCGCCCTCAAAGCGGGCAGCGCTATATGGTTGCATCCCTCTGCATCACCATGTGCATCTATGTGGAGCGTCGCTCGGATTTTTTGGAGTTCAGGCGAGCATTTTGGTTTGAGTGCCTCGTTGCGACAGCAAGTGATGGCAAGTGCAAGCCAGTGACATCAAGACCTTCTCGACACAGCCAAAGCAGACACCCTGAACGCTTTGCTCTGAGTCCAAGGCAGCTCGGGGATCGGGCTGATACCGCGCTTGTAGCAGTAGCCTCGAAAGCTCAAGGGACTCTCCACTTGCCTCGCTCGATTGCAAATGCAGGCAGATGTGCAAGCAGAAGCGCAAAGAGTCAACGGGGTAGCACTATGCGCCCGACGAGCGAAGTGGTTGCCTGAGCAACATGTCACTCTGCCATTGCTTGCACGTTTGTTTGCACGTCTTCTTTCTTTCGCGGGGGACATGAGGGTCAAGCCTGCGCAGCCTCCCTGTCTCTCTTCTTTCCATCCATCCCTCTCCCTCTGTCCGTCCTATGTCCTTCACATCTAGCCAGGAGAATCAAGCACTACGGCAGATCACAGGTTGCACGTGGCTGGACGCTGACAATTTAAACGCCGCTCACAATCCAAAGCTGGGCGGCGGAGGTCCTCCAGCAGAGTGGTCAGCTGCCTGATTCCTGCAAGCTCACGGAAACTTGTGTACCAGAATGGGGCGGTCTTGAATGCTGGACATCGCTGCAAATGGAGGCAAAAGGCTCAACAACGAGGGTCAAGGTTCGAAGTCAACTTAACACTCAGAGCTTTGCAAGTCCTTCGTCCAAATCCTCCTGATTGTGACAGCTAAGCATAACTTCCACCGGGGTGTCCATGGCACCTGAGTTGCCACAGCGGGTTGTAAGTTGTAACGTGATGCCAACCCCATAAAATAGTAAACCTGTCTTTGATGGAGCTGTGTACATGATTGTACATGGAAGGGTCCAAGCGTCCATACTTACCCATCGGCTGGCTTCCATCCCATCCGCTGACTCGGATCTTGCCTCCCATGAGCTCAACACCCTCATCCTGCCCTCATCGGAAAACAAAACAACTGCCTGCAACCAGCAAAAACCCCCGGCCTCGGCATGCATGCGAGATCGGACGGAGGTTGCAACCTCCACACATCGATCTACCAGCCGATGGGGATAGGTTTTGCTGTGCTTCTCTTGAGTCTAAGTAAATCAAAAACAAAATAGAGCACCGGACTAAGGGAAGCTCCAGTCAAGGCACATGAATGCACAAGGAACAAAACTTTCAACAAGCACCATCTTGCCCAGACCCTCTCCAGCGTTAGGAAGCAACACCGGACACCACCGGACCCTCCATGTCTGTCAAAAAAAAACATCAAACTGCATCAAAACAAGCAGGCTCAGTCACACCATCACGATTAAATCATGCCAGCAGGTCTTGCTCCGATCCCTGCATAAACATGAAGCTATCTCATAGTTTGTTTACATTGGCATGGCGCAGCTGCTGCGCAGCGTGGTCCCGTGGCTTTTGGCCGCCGTCGGCGTGAACATTATCATACATGATCCCTTCTTCCCAGGGTGTGCAACGTTGTGCGTTATGGGACGCCGGCGCGAATGAAACTCGTGCAGCGGCGCCTTTGCGTCCGATGAGGCGAGGAACGAGCTCGAAGTCGGCCTAGGCGCTTCGCAGCTCACAACTACTTGTAGAAGCCCCGGGCAAGCTAAAGATGCTAAAGAACTGACGTGCACGTCGTGGCACCGTTTCCAGAAGCCAAGCTGCATGGTGCCTGGCATCAAAGCCAGCGAAGACGAAGCGGGCCAGGAGTTGGCCGCCTTTGCCTGATCAGTATAGCACAGTATAGCACAGTATAGCACAGTACACGACCATCACAACCCTGCAGCCTTGGTCATGCGGCATGCTCACCAAACGCCGCCTGCGCGACGGCGCGGCGCGAGCTCCGCTTCCAGCCGGTCTCCGGCGACCTGCACTGCAGTTGCGGACGTCCTTCTTTTGGAAAATGCAGCTCGCAAACTAGGAAGGCTGGGACAAACTGAGGCCAACTAACATTACTCGGAGACTGATCGATGTTCGAGGAGCCATGCTGGCTGGGTGCATCAGGCATATTCCGGCATATCAGACAGTTCTTGTTTACATGGACCTGAGAAGGCTGCCGATATTCCAGCTGTCCAAACACCGGTTCCCAATCTCCCGCGGAACTGGCCAGGTTCACGCATTCTCTCACAGTGAAGAGATAACTACGACAGAAGTGGGAGAGACAAAGTGGTTTTTACGGTGCTTGTGAAGGACTCTGACTCTGCCCCTTCGGCTGCGGGAGTATGGTGCCAAAGTTCCCGAACCCCTCTCGGCCACGTCATCTTAACGGGCTGCTGCAAACATGTCGCCAACGACTCGGCCAATGACACATTTGTGCCCTTTGCAAGCTGCCTGGGGCGGTGGGGGCAGCGGCGGCACCGGCCTGTTCTGACAAGCCCTGACATGTTAAAAGTCAAAACACGAAGGAGACCTGTGCACATGCACACACACGCACACACAAAAAAAAAAAAACACCCACGCCCACATCCACACGGGGTGTAGGGGAAAACTCCATACTTCGTGATGTATTCAGGAAGAAGATGATACAATCCATACCGTACCTGTTCAACTTTCAGGGTCCCTGTGAATAGTGAATGACTGCAACATGGCAAACCAAACTGGATGCTCATTACATGAGTTGCAGGTACGTTCCAAACGCGTCCAACCGGCATGTCACAGTCATGAGAAAGGTGTCTTCGTTGGCCTGGATCCTGTCTGTGATTCTCAGGCCCCCCGCAGAGAAGCAAAAATCCGTTGCAGTCACTGATCTACGCTCACTATGCGCCAGCTTGGTGTTACTGAATGCACAACACCTACTGGCACGAAATCTGTGCTAGCAGCTAGCACACTCACTGT